TTATTTATTTTGTGTGTGTGTGGCCAGCTCAGCCCACCAGGGGGCGGGCTGGCTGGCATGTGGTGCTGGGGGATTGAACCACGGTCCCTGTGCTTTGCTTAGCTTAGCTTATTGTACGTAGGTGCTTTAGACCACTGAGCCATCTCACCAGCCCCAGACCCCCCTTAACGCAGCCTGAGCCAGCCAAAAAAAGAAAGAATCCAGAGGGCTTAAGTCAGTAGAAGAGCAAGTAAAGTGTTCCAGTTCAGCGTTTCCTCCTTTCATCCTTCAGGTGTTTGCTATTCAGTTGACTTGAAACCTCCTTTTGGCCTTTGTTTTTATTTCCTTTGCTTAGATTCCACTTTTAAAAAAAACCAAACAACTTTCTGTTAATTTATGTACTTTGGTATAAGGTCTCTCTGCAGCTCAGATTTGTAGTGCTCCTCCTGTCTGAGCCTCCCCAGTGCCATGTGGCCACCACGCCAAGTTTTGGTGGCCAGCAGGGCACACCTGAGATTCCAGGGGCCAGCACAGTTTGCAGTCAGTACTGGGGATCGAACTCGGGTCCTTGCATTTGACAGGCAGACATTTAGACCTCTGAGCTATCTCCCCAGCCCAGATTCTACTTTTGTGCCTTTACAGTGTTTCTGTACTAGCACTAGGACTGTCACTCGTCTCTCTTGTGTCCTTCATCTAAAGTATTGGCAGTCCCCGTTACAACCTCTCTAAAATTGTGCCACAAGGAGCAGAGTGCTGGGCGTGGTAATGCACACCTGTAATCCCAGCACTTGGGAGAAGCACTGAGTTGCGGGCAGCCTAGGTTGTGTAGTGAGTTTGTTGTTGTTTTAATGTATTTGGTTGTTGCAAGGTCTCGCTATGCAGCTCGGACTCGTGGTGATCCTCCTGCTTTTAGCCTCCCCGGTGCTGGGATTACAGGTGTGTGCTACTATGCCTGGACTCTGGCCAGCGCAGAATGTGGTGCTGGGGATTGAACCACAGGCCCTGAGCTTGCCTAAGCAGGCGCTTTAGTCAGCTGAGCTCTCTCACCGGCCCCCTGTGTTGTGACTTTAAGGCCAAACTGAACTACATAGGCAGAGCTTGTCTTCCAAAAAAAAGGCTAAAAGAGCACAGTGACCCATGTGAGGCTAGCATAGGTTCCCAGGCAGCACACCATGTATTAGAAAGGTGGTGCTTTTGTGAGGATTTTATTGCTATGTTTACTGCCTGTGAACATTTTAATAAAAACTGGGACATCATTACAGTTGTCATTCTCTGACAGTTGCTTTCCTTGCAGTGTTTTCTTTTTTTTTTTTTGCTTCAGTACCAGGGATTGAACTCAGGAACCTGTGCTTGCCAGGCAGGTGCTTATTCTACTGAGCTGTCTCCCCGGCCCCTCCCCTCAGTCTTATCCTGAAGAAATAGTCTTATTAAAGATTAATTGGCTATGTTATGGAAAATCGCTTCTCATTGTGAGGGAGAAAAGCATAGCTTCCCTCTCATATGTTCTTTGCATGATTTCTAGTGGTTTGATGAAGAAACAGAGAGCAGTGATGATGTGGAAATCCTCACTGTGAAGAAATTCAGAGGGGATTTGGCCTACAGACGCCAGGAGTATCAGGTGGGAGTGTGTGGCTGTGCTACTAGGAGTGGGCTTTTTTTTTTTTTTTTTTTTTTTTAAATCTTTTTAAATTTAGTGCAGGGTCTCACTATGCAGCTCAGACTCAGTGATCCTCCTGTCCCAGCCTTCCCGGCGCTGGGATTACAAGCACGCAGCACCATGCCCAGTTTCCAGTTTTGGTGGCTGGCACGGTGCACCTGTGGTTCCGGGGCCAGCATGGATGTGCTACTAGGGATCGGACCTGGGTCCTTGCACTTGCCAGGCAGGCAGTTAGACCACTGAGCTATCTCTCTGGCCCTAGAGTGGGCTCTTGATTGACTGATTGGTTGCAGCCTATGTAAGTAACAGAGTACTGAGTCATAAGTGGATAGTTTGAGTGAAGATAAGTTGAATGTTTTTGTCGTATATTTTAATCTTAGACTTTCAAGGGTCTGTCCTTTCCTATATGAGTCTATATAATGTTTTTGTTTCTCCTTAAACAAAAAAAAAAAAAAAAAAAAAAGGAAAGAAACTTTTGGGTCCCATTAGCCTGTTTCTTTTGGTTGCCCAGCCCTGCATTGTATTTGAGCCTTCAACACAGACACCTCAGATTGTCACAGGCACAAAACACCCCAAAATGTATAAGAACAACAGTTAAGCATTACATTACATATGTCATGTTCCCTCTTCATGAAAATTAGTGATGAGATGGTTTTACAGGAGGCAGGATTTGGAGCTGGGGCCCTTTTACACTGCACTGTTCCCATAGTAATTAAGTCATCACATCCTCCAGCCATCTGTGTCTACATTTAAGAAAGACAATACTCACTAAAATAATCAGGTCTCTTGTGGTTCATTGTAGGATCAGCTATAACTTTATCTCTTGTCTAGGGAAAAAAAAAATCATCCTTGCACCAAATCCTCCAAATCCTTTTCCCTCCCTCTCTCTTTTTCTCTGTCTCTGCCTGTCTGTCTGTCTGTCTGTCTCTCCCCCCCTCTATCTTTCATTGCAGAAAGCACTGCAGGAATATTCTACCATCTCTGAAAAGTTGTCACATACTAACTTTGCCATGAGAAGGGACGTCCAGGAAGGTCAGGCTCGCTGTCTGGCTCACCTGGGAAGGCACTTGGAAGCTCTGGAGATCGCTACAAACTTGGTGAGTGGTTTTATTTTTTCTTTTACCAAGGAGAGTTGAATAGTTTGTTTGCTAGAAACAAAACCAAAAACAAATTTCTTATTAGCAGAATCAGTGGGTTTAGATAAGCAAAATGAATAGAATTTTATTGTGGACAATTTGGAGCTCTAAATATAATCCTTTCTTGTAATATTTTTTCTGTGTTAAGCTCAAAATTTTTCATTGTTTGAAAAAAATCTCATTTGCACAGGTTTTACTTTTGTGAGTAGTAAATGGATTATGAGTGACACTTATGTTTTAAGATTTTAGACTTTGAAAAAGAAGAATTTTAGGCTTTGTTTTCCAAAATTTCTACAAGGAATCATATATTACTCCTTTAACTATAAGAAGTTATCAAAACATAAACTCCCAGCCCGAGCTTAATAATTGTTTTCATAGGCAGGCATGGCCTAATCCCAGCACTCAGGGAAAAAAATCATCCTTATACCTTATACTTCCTGCTGAGGCAGGAGGATTGCTGGAGTTTGAGGCCAGCCTGAGCTATATAGGCAAGCAACAATTTAAAAATGCTTAAATGCTTTTCATTTTTTAAAGAGAATTTACAGAATTCTTGTTTGTATTTTTGAGACAGGGTCTCGCTCTGCGGTTCAGGCTGGCCTCCTTGAGCTCACTTTGTAGCACAGCTTGGTCTCAAACTCCTAACAGTCCTCCTTGTCGAATTTTTTTAAGGAGTAAAGAAAGGCAGCTGTGCTGGGGAGACAGCTCAGCGGCACAGCGCCTGCCTCGCAAACTGGAGGTTGTACATTTAATCCCTGGTAAACCCCCCACCCCCCCCACCCAGCCCCCCGCGCGCGCACAAAAGGCAGTTGGTTGTAATTGCAGCTTCTGTTTTGTGCTTAAATTAAAGCGTTTGTGCCTGGGGCTGGGGGGATAGCTCAGTGGCATAGGCACTTACCTGCTAAGTGCAAGGTACTGAGTTCAAGCCCTGGTACCAAAGGAGGAGGGGAGCAATTGTGGCTTGCTTGGGTAGGCTTTGTGGGACCTGAAATTGGAGCTAGTGTGGGTGGCTCACCCGGCTCTAGCGTTCTTGGAGGGTGTCGCTGAGCCCGCGGCTTGCTCCTGAGCCTGTGGGCGTGGCCTGCAGGTCTCTCTCCGCCTCATCCCCAAGCCCCGCCCCACTCTGCCTCCTAGCGTGGAACCCCGGGCTCTCTGGCGGGAAGTGGGCTCTCGAGCAGGCAATCGCTGTGTTCGCTCTTTCTCTCCCTGCCTTCTGTGTGCTCCTTCTTAGCCGGGAGGATGACGGGTCACCTAGCCCAGCCGGCGGGGCATGAGCAATGAGCCAGGGGTGTGCAGCAGCGCCCTCTGCGTCCCAGCAGTGGCTTCAGGGCGTGTTCTGCACCCATCGCTGCGGCCGCCCCACCACCACCTCTGTGGGTCACCGTTGGCCTCAGCCGCTTTGCCTCCCTCGCTGGGTGTCAAAGGCAGGAGCAGCTGAAGGCCTGGAGGGGCTCGTGAGCTCTCTAGTACCTCAGTGCATCTGTTTCTGTGACTGAGAGAGGGATCCGTGCCCATGGTGGCTGCCAGGTCCCTGGAGAGCACCAGTCCAAGGGGCTGTGGGCCCTGCCAGCACTCTCAGGGCTGCGCGTCAGCCTGTGCAGTTTTCCCAGTGCCTGCTGCAGTCTGTGCAGGTCCCTTATTTCCTGTAATCCCATGTGTTGTAATGTTCTCTAAGACTTCTTCTTTACTCAGTATTCTTTTCTTTCAAGATTTTTTATGTTCTGGTCCATGTCTTTTTTCGTTCCTGTGGTTTTATCCTCTCATATTCTGTGTGAGTAGAAGTCAGTATGTAATTTTGAAAAAAACAGACAGCAAATCTGTATCTGTAGTATAGCTAGCTTTTCTGGGATTCAGTTGCCTTATCTATAAATGGGGATGATAGAGTTTTACAAGATTGTCAGGACTGGGGCTGGGGAGATGGCTCAGTAGGATAAGTGCTTGACTGGCAAACGCAAGGATCTGAGTTCAATCCCCGGTTCCGCCAAAAAAAAAAAAAGAAAGAAAGAAAAAAAAAAATAAGTCAAACACTTAGAATATGGCTCTGCATGTGGTTAATACGTAAAACATGTTAACTATCTTATTGAAGGGGTTTAATATTTTGTTTAACCAAGGATTGAACTCAGGTCCTTGCGTTTGCCAGGGAAGCGCTTATTCCACTGAGCCATCTTCCCGGCCCTGAAGGGGTTTAATATTTTGGAACAATCCTTCAAACTTCAATGAGGGTCGGCCTGATAGCTGAGGGGACTAAAGCGCCTGCTTAGGCAGAATGCAGTGGCTGGGGTTCGATCCCCGGCATGTGTGCCAGCCCCGCTTGCAGGGTTTGCTGAGGCTAGGATTGAGATTGGATGTGGTGACGTGTGCCTGTAATCCCAGCACTTGGGAGGCTGTAAGCAGGAGAATCACTACGAGTTTTGATTTATGCAGTGAGACCTTGTAGACTATTTTAAATACAGAAAAAAAAAATTAAATGAATTTAATTTATGTGGAGGAGTTTGTTAAGCCCTTGCTATCAAGGCCAGAGCACCAGAATCATAGCCTGCTGTTGAGTAGCGTGGAGCTCTTCTGGCAGGGAATAGGAGGTGGCCAAGAACCTGTACATGTTGCCTTCCTGGTTGGAAATAAAAGGCCCAGGTTACCGTCAGGATGCTCGTCGCTCAGCCCTGGCGCTCTTAGTGGCCGAGGATCTGTGGCCTGTGCTGCACCGAGGAGGTGAGCACTGAGCGGGGCTCCAGGGAGTGCTGGAGGAGCGTGGGAAGGGCAGGCAGGCCGGCGGGAAGCCTTGTGAGGAGATGAGGCCGGGCCTGTCTTGGGGAGGTGCGGTCCCCTAGGCCGTGGGGCTTTTGTTCTTAGTCTAGGAACCTGCTGAGCCTACAGAACTTGGGGGGCTCCTAGTCTGTCCAGGTTGCCTCTGGGGATTTGGGCTCCCTCTTCATGCTTGGGAGCAGCTCTGCGTGGAGCTGGATCTGGAGGCATGGGCCAGGCCTCCTTAGGTCTCTTTCTGCCTGTCTGCGAAACATTAGCATAAAAAAGCAGGACTGTTTTTCCTTTTTTCTATTCTTTTTTTTTTTTTGGAGGGGAGGGAACTGGGGATTGAAACTCAGGCCCTTGCGCAAGCGCTTATTCTACTGAGCCATCTCCCCAGCCCCGTTTTTCCTAGCAGAGGGCGTTTACCAGGGTTGAGTTAGAGGATAGGTGGTCTCTGGCTACAGACTTGGCAAGGCTTCTGATCAGAAGAATCCGAGCAGCCTTCTCTGGCCTTGGTGTTAGTGGGGGTGGCATTTGGTTTCAGTAAAGATGCTACGGGAGAGCTTCAGGCTGTTCTTCCTAAGATGTTGAAGACAAAGAAAAATGTGCAGATGGAGTTTGTTTAACCATCTAAGAAATTACCTTTGGGTTTTTAGAAAGCCTGGAATATATTAAAATGGAACCATTAGCCCAGCACCTAAGAAAATTGGCTAGAGTCTTCAGATTTCTGACCAAAGGCAAGAAATGATACGAATTGGAAAGAAACTCAGTTATGTTTTTGTTGCTGGACTTTGTCAGCCACCATCACTTGACTCGTGGTGTTGTTATGATAATGGGATGCTAGACGTGACTGGCTGCTGTATTTTTAGGGAGTACGAATTTCTCTAGGTGTGGTTTCAAGTGAGATCTGTTGAGGTATGTTTAGTTCACTTGCCTTGTACAGCTGTTGAAAGATACATCTAAGGGCCTGAGAGATAGCTCAGCAGACTAAGCGCCTGCTTTGGCAAGCGCAGGGACTAGCATTCAGTTCTCATGCTGGCCCTGCCACTGGGGTGTGCTGAACCTGTGACCCAGTCCAGGCATGGTGGCACATGCCTTAATCCCAGTGTTGGGGAGGCTGAAAACAGGAGGATCACTATGAATCTTGAGCTGTGTAGTGAGACCCTATACCAAATACATAAAAATGAAAAGAAAAAAGAAAAATATATCTACCTTATATCCTACTTGGGGTTTTAGACGTCTTCTTTTTTTTTTTTTTTTTTTTGCGGTACTGGGGATTGAACTCAGGCCCTTGCGCTTGCCAGGGAAGCACTTATTCCACTGAGCTATCTCCCCCGCCCGACGTCTTCATTTTTAAGTAGAAAGTATTTTGCAGTTTATGATTATTTACCTTCTCTCTGTTCATTTGTTTGTTTCCTTCTCAGGAAAATAAAGCGACCAACATAGACCACTTGACCTCTGTGCTGTACCTCCAGTTTGGTATTTGTTCCAGTTGGCCAAACTTGGAGAAAACTGTCTCCTGCCTGCAGAAGCTGATTGCTGTGCATCCATTTAATCCTTGGGCCTGGGGCAAGTTGGCAGAGGCCTACCTGAGTCTGGGGCCAGCTCTTTCGGCATCATTTGGGTCACCTCAGGGACAGAACAGTTTCACCTCCAGTGACAGAACTATCACATCCACCTTTCCACCTTCAGGAAGAGACTGTCTTTTGTGTTTTCCTGAAACCTTGCCTGAGAGCTCTGTATTCTCCATGGAAACCAGAAGCAGTAATAGCCAGAAACATGAGAAGACTCTGAAAAGTATTCCAGGCTGTGTGGCAGAAAAGAGAGGGACCCCGTTGCCAGAGACTCAGTTGAAAGCATGCGCCTCTTTGATTCGAGCCAGGTAAGCAAGGTGGATATGAAGCCATGTGGGCGTCACTCAGGAAAAGGGTCACTTTTTCTCAATTGAAGCGTTAGAAGTTTCTAGGCTGAGTGCTTGGTACATGGCTTGGAAGTTTTCTTAGGATCTAGACAGGACCCTTTGAATGTGTATTACTTGGTGTGTATGGTTTGGACACACTATATTTGCTCAGGAATACAGCTGTGCTAGTGCTTGAGAAATTAGGGGGAAAATGTGTCAAGTGTTAAAAGGGAAGAAGAGCTACTTTAAAGAAGGCATTTTTGCTCATACATTCTGTAGAGGCTGCTCTTGTTTGAATCTTTGATATTGTGACTTAAGCAGGACTTAGTTCATTTCAGAGAGGATTCACGTGTTCCCTTAGGGCAAACATGGCAAACTTTTAGCAACCGGGTGCTCAAACGATAACCCAAAACCCAGTTACATATCTCCAGGTGCCAACAGTGCAGTTAAACCTGAATACTGAGGGGTTTTATTTTTTGCAGTACTGGGGATTGAACTCAGGACCCCATGCTTACCAGGCAAATGCTTATTCTAGTGAGCTCTCCCGTCGGTCCTGGATACTGAGGTTCTAGTTTAGCAAAACAACTCTTCTGGTGCTCAGCTGCTGGGCGACTTTGCTTGTGGCTCACAGAGGGTCTGTGTGCGCGCTGCAGCGTGGGTACCGTCCGCCCGCCAGCACTGCGCCAGGATCTGCAAGAACTTTGGGTCCTTACAGGGTATAAATTTGAGGAAAGGCTGGAGAAATACACTTGACCAGTCTGTGACTTACAAGAGAAAAGTCAACACTTCCATGAAAACGTAAAGATTATTTTTGACTCTGGAGAACTCCAGAAATAGTGGCAGTGAGGCTTAACCAACAAATGGCAGATACTAGAATTTATCGTGATTATTTGTCATTGACTCTGTCACTTTTATTTCAGAATACATCTGCCAGGCCCTTGCTTGGTGCTAGGATCATGCATATTGTTAAAAAGCAGTTCCTCTCCTTTCACTGCTTGCTACCTAGGGAAAGTAGCTGTCCAGTGGTGACTAGCACACAGGCACCAAGCAGCCCGTCACTGCTGAGTGGGATCCATTTGGACCAACACAGGCGCCGTGGGGCAGGAAGACAGGTGCCTTTGCAGGAGACGGACAGGGTGCTGGGGGAGAAACACAGCTGACAGAGGACTGGCGCTCTTGTGGATGTGAGTTCATCTCACCCTTCACGACTCTCGGGTACATATTGGGCCCCACTTCGTACACTAGGGGACTGTTAAAATCACTCCCACAGTGGCATGCCTGTGAAGACCAGGCCCAAGCTGTCTTGTTCCTCTGGAAAGGAAATTTCCACAATGAGGAAAGCAGGCAGAGAGGAGGCCAGTTGCGGCCCTTGGGATGGGGACAGCAGGTACAGAATAGTCACGCTGTCTGGTGCCCAGAGCCCCAGGACTCCAGGAGGCAGAGGAAGCAAGACAGGACTTTGGTTTTTTTGTTTGTTTTTTCTGGCAGAACCGGGGATTGAACTCAGGTCCTTGCGCTTGCCAGGCAAGTGCTTATTCTCCTGCGTCATCTCCCCAGCCCCAGGCCAGCACTGTGGATCACATGTGAGTGATCGGCAATTGAGCCCAGATTGTTGTGCTTGGCAGTGCCTGACCATACAGATTGCCTGAGCTCTTGGTCTCCACACGCCTCCTCCTGCCAGGTGGAAGAATGGCAGCACCTGCTTTGAAGGGCTGCGGTATTGGAGCATCTAAAGTTCTCACTTTGTGTATGGTGGCATGTTAGCTGTTCGTTTTTCGTTGTTTTATTTTATTACCAGCACAGCACATGAGGTGCGATCTTAAGGGTTTGGCCCTTGTGCTGAAGCGTCTGCAGGTTTCGCGTGATCACACGATGTGATCAAGGCTGCAGTGTACAGGGCGAGCCAGTACAGTAGCTGGGCTGCTGTGTGGGAGGAGGAGCACCAGTGAAGAGCAGTGGCGTGCTGATGGCTCTGTGCCAGCCGAGTCAGCAGCAAGAAGCGGGTGTCCTCGTAGTGTGGAGTAGCAGGCTCTGTGACCCGGCGGGGGAGGGGAAGGCTGGTGGTAGGGAGCAGCAGAGACTAAAGATGCCCGGGCGAGGGTGCGCTGGTGGAACGCTCAGGCTGCCGAGCAGAGCAGATCTGGGGCCAGGAGTGTTTTACCTGGTGACTGTCTCTGTGACCGCCAGCCAGAGCTCTCCATCATAAAATTAGGGCCAAGTTGAGACAAAAGGAGCTGGAGCTGAGGCAGCGCCAGGAGGGCGAGCAGCGGTCAGGTTGGCAGGAGGAGGCCTTGCGTGACTGTTGAGGAAGCAATTCCGCTGTGGGTGTGCAGTCCTCAGGCCACTTGCAGTTGAGAGGTGAGGAGTGATGAACACACAGAGAGGGAGAGAGGCTAGGCTGTTTCTCAGTAACTTAGAGTGGAGGAGGAAAGCTGGCTGGAGGTCGCAAGTGTAACTGCTTTGCTTTTTAGGTCCTGCTCCCTTGGAAAACTGCGACACCCAGGAGTTCACATGCAGTTTGTTTGCTGTTGCTGTAGCACAACACACAGGGTCATTCATTTACCCCGAAAAGAATTTTATCTCGCACAGTGTGGGAAGCTGGGATGTCTGCAGTCCAGCTGCCAGGCGCTGCTGAGGGCCTTCCCGCCACGCATAGCTTGGAGAGGGCCTCGCGTGAGGAGAGCGTGGCACTGGAGGGGAATCCAGGGAGCTTGGCCTTTCTCCCGGAACTTACGGCCCAGCTGTGCGTTAACCCGATCCGGATCATCACTCTGAAAAGTAGCAGCTCTCAGGGCCAGCGAGATAGCTCAGCCCTGAGAGCACTGAGCTCCTGGCATGGTGGTGCATGCCTGTAATCCCAGCCCTGGGAAGCAGGAGGATCACTACGAGTCCAAGCTGCGTAGTGAGACCCTGTACCAAATACACAAAATGAAAAAAAATGTTGCAGCTCTCTGTACCATCAAAAGGGCAGTTAAGGTCTGACCTGTGTTTGGAGAGCACATGCAGACCCAAGAGACATTTCTTCCTGAGCAGGGAGTTTGAGCTGCCCAGCCTTGTCTTCACCTCCCTGCAGTGCTGGGGGGGGGCTACAGAGAACTAGTCAAGCTGGTTCTGGTGTCAGGGCCTCCCCTCTCCTCCCCCAGGCCTTTTTTCTCAGAGAGTCCTGTCATCATGCCGGTCCCCTCCACCCCAACAGCCTTGTCAGTCAGGTCTTGGCTTGGGCAGTAGCTCAGGAAACCTTCCTGAAGAGACACTAAATCCCTCTTCCTTCGTAGCACTTGTCACTCAGACCTGAAATTAATCTCTTCCCTCCTTCCCTTCCTCCTTTTTTTCCTTCCTTCCTCCCCCTTCCTCCCTCCTTTTCTGCCTTCCTTTTGCCTGCCTGCCTCCTTTCCTTTCCCCTTATTCTCTACCCCTTTTCTTTTTTCCCCCCTTCTTTTTTTATTATTATTTTATTGAGAAGCAAATAGCAATGAGACAGTTCCAAAACAGGTTAGTAGATGAGTTACAATAATTAATACATTGCATATTGTTGTCTTCGTAGTATTCATAGTACAAGAGGCAGACATGATATCCTGTCCAAACATTATTAGTAAAAATCTTTCTCCACGTTGAATTAAGAGAAAGTAGCTGGGGGCTGGTGAGATGGCTCAGTGGTCTAAAGCACCTACTTAGAACAAGCTAAGCTAAGCAAAGCACAGGGACCGCAGTTCAATCCCCCA